GCCTCCCAGGGCCCAGCCCCCTATATATACAGTGTGTAGCAGTGATACATGATACTGCGTGAGGATGCCGATACTAGATAGCGCCCTGCCGAAGCCAAGGCGCATGTTGCTACGCGTGAACACATAAGACAAGAGCGGCCGGGTCGGGATGAAGGTATGGCTTCTATGCTAGATTTAGAGGTCTACCATGCATGTCAACAGTATATTTACCTGGAAAACCATCGAATGTATTGATTGGGTCCTGCCACTGCATGCCGTCTAGAGAATCAAAGCAAGCGACAGAAATTAGCTTTCAATCATAATTACACCGGAGTCTCGACCCTCATTTTTGCGGTGCGATTGCGCAATTCAGACCGGGTATGCGGTACCACCAGGGACCACCAGGGACCACCATGTACCACCATCCACCACCCCCCCCCCCCCCCCCACCATGGATGCATGTGTCGATCGTGCCCGCGCCCATTCACGCACATTCACGCACATAAATTGAGTTAGATTCAGATCGCGGCCAGGGGCGGCGATACCTTTTCATGACAGGGGTGGGGGGGGGGGGGGGGGGAATGCGAGGGACGAGGGAGCATAGTGTAAACTGTGCTTACGTGATACCAACGGAATACCGATTTTCTACATAAATTTTGAAGGATCATCTAAAAATAATAGAAGGGGGGGGGCACGTCCCCCCATGTCCCCCCGGGATCGCAGCCCCTGCCAGCGGGACAATTACCCTCCCCCGGCAAATAACCCTACGAAGACAACCCCCCCCCCCCCGTGGACTGCAATTACACCCCCTGAAATTACCCCCTTGGACCATCACCCCCCCCCCCTCCCCTCCCATAGGACAATTACTCCCGGGAAAAAAAATCTTCTTTTAATAAAACCAACTCATTAGCATGGTGGACTTCCTTTTAATGAACGGGGGGGGGGGGGGCACTTTTCATGTAATATTTTTGTAAATGTTAATCTCATATTACATAATAATTATCCCGAATTCATTTTTATTGAAATGCATAAGATCACAATGTTTATGCGAGACGAAGTTTGTTTGATGGAATGCCTAATAATCGAAGAAACTGCCGCAATTGCCATGATTGGGGGAGGGGGGGGGGGGGAGGAAGCTCAATGGGGTTGTATGATGATCTTTACATATGGAAACGTTTGCGTGGATTTGTCTCATAAAAGAAGTTTTCCAAAAACTGACTCCACACGGTGTTGAGTGCTCAGGGATAACGGGCCACTGGCTTCATCGGGCAGGTAGTTCCATTATGTGAATGGGTAAATTAACTATTACAAAATGAGGGGACACATTACATTGTGCAATAGGGACACATATTGTTTCTTTTGTTCAGAACATACTCTTTTATTGACTTACTTATTGAATAAAACTATAAAACGAAAAATGCATTTTGTATTCTAACAATTGGAGTCCAAAAAATAATAACAGGTGAATGAAATGCATAAACACCACAAACACCTGGGAAGGAAGCAGTCATAAACGACTCCGCATGAAACTATAAAACCAAAATGTAATTTGCGTTCTGGCAATTAGAGTACAAAGAATGATAGCAGGTGAATGAAATGCTTCAACAACACAAACACCTTGGAAGGAAGCATCCATAAATTTGAATAATTTAGTTGATAAACGACTCCGCTTATGGACGTTTGGTGGAGCAGCTAGCAGTGGATTTTTGACAACACGAACCCATTTAACAGAATGTCGGAACGTAAATTAAATTTGGCGCGGTTGGAAAATGCATCTTTCTACCCAGCGACTTTAATGGTACGATCCAGTAAATTAAAACAGTAAAATGGCTCTTATTTTAAAATTACTCAAAACTAAAACCCAAAACTTCAGTGATATCAGACAAAATATGTTATATCTTACTAATAATTAAAAAAGATGTATAAACATTGTGAAAGTGTAGCATATTACGATAAAAGACACCAATTAACGAAGATAGAACCTGTTTATGTGCGCTTGCTTCAGGGAATTCAAGGTCAAAAGGTCAATTCAGACGCTGATAAGTTATTGGTCAAGCCTTTTTGTTTCCTTTATTCCGACAAAAGTATACAATCAATAAAAACAAGTTTAATACCAGTAAAAAGCTAACGATTAGTATTTTCATTAACCGCTTGCCCCAAAGTCGCTTGACCACGGTGAAACGAGTGAGAACTTGCGAGAGCGGCCAAAGTGTGATTGAAACTCGCTATTTGCTCTTCTCCAACGCAAAATAAGACGACATTGTGCTGGATAAATACATTTTTTCCGACAAAGGTACAGAAAATTTGCAAATGGTCTTTTTATATTATACTTTATGGAATGTTACCCGAGTGACTTCCGGGCGCCCCAATGCTGGAAAGAAACGCACATTTTAGAAAACTTCACTTTTTCATGCATGGAAAAATGCTCATTTGTTCTATGCACGCAAGTCAGATTGAGCGGATGATACAACGTTTCCATCCCGCCCCCCCCCCCCCCCCACTCAGGGGTCGGAATGACCGCATGCGTGTTGCCAAAATGTCCGGTAAAGGGGTACTTTTCGTGCGACAAAGTCCGGCCCGAGAATTGTAAAAAAAAGGGGTGTATTTGACTTTTCACCCGGAGATTTCATTAAAAAGGGAGTGTTTTTTTTTTTTTCTCTCATCTCTTTGGACTCCTGAGAAATTATTCCGAATTTAGGGGGGTACATTGAGCATTTTTCCTGATTTAGGGGGGTCTCCAAGGCAGGAAAAGCCCGCGAAAAGCCCGCGAAAGGGGGGTTCGAAAATGTTGGCAGTCCTCAGATAGGGGGTGCTTTCAAAAAGAGGGAACGAGCATATGCGTACCCTAAATAACACTGAGTGGGGGGGGGGGGGGGGCCGGGGTTTCCATATGCGTTGCGTTTCCTTTCCGTATACCTTTACCCCTCCCACCCCCACCCTCTCTCTCTCTCTCTCCCTCTCTTAATCATATCACTCTCTTCCTTTCCTTTCTCTCCCTCACTTTTTATAGCATTAATAATGTTTCACAGACTGCAATAATTAGCTCAAATACGAACATGACATTCTCTTTTTCACCTTTCATAACATTCGTTTCAAGAACTCCTTTTCTTAAATGTAGTCCCTTTTACTCTTGTTGTTTTTATTTCCGTATAAAAAATAATCAGATACAAATACAAATATACGGCTGGTTGCCCATATTCAGCTGCAACGATAATTGTTGCTGCTGGTCTTCCATGGGGCCAGTTTACAATATACAAAATATACATAATATTACAAATTAAAAAAATAAATAATTACAAAGTATCAGTCGAAAACTTAATACAAATACTTTCTTTAATCTATACTTCAAAATACATTCAAGATTGATATTTGAGATATCAACCAACGTCAACGCTGTGTATATGTGTATAATTGTGAATGTTTTATAAAGCTCCCTGAAAGGGTTAAAAAGAAGAAAAAACATCAACCAATGCTACCTAAAAAAAACTCGGTAACCTAAAAATAATAAAACATCTAACAAATTTCCAAGGTATGCTTATGGATTTATTTCATTTATCAAAAAAACAAAAACATGAAAATATACAGATTTTGTTCAGTACAACCTAATCAATGTATATACCTCTGCAATATTTAGTTTCTAAAAGAAGTCCACAAATATTCATGAAGCATGATTGGTCCAAAACGTTTTAACAAAGGTCGATCAAAATAATATTTGATCCAAAAGAATTAATCCAAAACTATAGTCCAAAACAAGTCCATGTCAAATAATCATTTCAAAACGATTAGTTCAAACGGTTATTCCAAAACAGTCAGTCCAAAACATCTATATTCCAAAACACTTAGTCCAAATAAGTTATTCCGAATAGATTTCCAAAAAATCTTTTTCACAAACTTATTAGATTGGAACAGGAAGATGAAGACGTTCCATAAACGCACCATTTTGAACTTGAGAAAGAAGAAAAAAGAAGAGGGAAAATTAACAAAAACATGAGTATGCAAATTTCTCATATCCCCTTTTCTTTTCCTTTTCGCAGAATAATGGCACTGGTCGTCATTATTATTTATAAACGATTTGTAAATGCCCCTCTTTTTTCTCATTGCAGAATATTGCACAATAGCATCGTCATAATTATGATAAAGATTGGCATAATTATTATGTCCCCCGTTTCAGTGCAAAATATTGCACTGGTAAATTCATATCACTATTGAACAAGGTGCATGTGTAAATGACCCTCTATTTTTGTTCTCAATGCAGAATATTGCACTGATAATCATCATAATTCAGATTCAGATTCAGATTCAGATTAATTTGTATTGGTCCATTTGGAAATGGTAATAGATGCAGTGGCGGATCCAGGGGTGGTGGGGGGCGGGGGGCCCGGCCCCCCTGGAAAAAAAACGTGTAAAAATACAAATTTTTACCTTTTTGGGGGGATGGGCTCCCCCCTGGCGCCCAAGGGGGGGGGGGGTGCACATTATTAAATTTGCGAAGGCCCCCCCCCCCAAAAAAAAAGTGTTCACTACCCCCAACCCCCCCCCCCAACCCCAATGGGCGAATTTTCAAATTTTCGGGAGCAAAAAAAAAAAAAAAGTTTGGCCCCCTCCCCTAAGAAAACCTGGATCTGCGCCTAAATAGATATAATGGGATTCTCAGCCGGGAAGAGGGGCGGGGGGGGGGGGGGGGGGGGGTACTCAGATTTGGTTTGGACGGGGGGTATGCCGCTGAAGCCTCGAACCCCTTACCCACGGTCATATTGGGGGATTTTTCTCTAAGTAAGGCACATTTTTCACAATTTTCGGGTGTGACTTGGGGAAGAAAAAAACGGACCCATTTTTAATGGTAGTTTGTTTAAAATAGGACCCAAGTTTAGGGATTTTTTGTGAAAAATTGACCCATTAGAGCGGCACCCCCCCCCCGTAATGTGAGTACCCCCCCCCCCCCGGTTAAAAAGAAGAAAGAAAGAATGAATGAATAAGAAGGAAGAGTAAAGGCATGTCGGAAAGATAGTGAGAGAGAGAGATGAAAAGAAGGAAAGAAAGTAAGAAAGAGAAGAGAAGATAAGAGAAGAGAAGAGGAACCCTCTTTCGATACCCTGAGTTATCGGTGTGCTATCGAGAAACATTCGTCTCAAAATGGCGTCTCTAAGCAGAGTGTGGAGAATTGGAAGTAAAGTTTTAACGGGAAGTTCATCCCTTGTCCGTCCAAATTTGAGGTCAATTCCTTGCCGAGTTTACAGTTCTACTACGAAAAAAGTTGAACAGTCAGAATTTGTAATCGGAAAACAGACAGAAATCGACCCTGCGAGGGTAGAAGAGATCATCAAAGAAGGCACCCGTCTCGAATCGGACTCCGATGCATCAGATCCCGTAGGTTTTTCTTGTCCCACATATTTAAAAATGTGTAACGTAAAAACAGTGTAGATCTATAGAGTCTAGATCTCGATCTAGTGTGACTTAAATTAAACCAAACAAATGTTCACTCGTTTAAATATGACGCGGCAAATTCGCGGCCGTTTTTTTTATTATTGTGAGGTAAAGTGTAATAGATCTACGCTTCCCATTTATGTATTAGGGTCTAGGCATAACAAAGACTCTGGCTCGGTGAATATGCGCAAATTTTGTTGCAGGCAGTTGACATTCATTTGCATGTAAAAAAAAAGGCGCTTGTTCGATGATGTTCACAAGTAAACTGCAATTGTGACCATATTTTCGACCCGCAAATCCGGAGTGGTGATACCTTACTATGACACTGACACACCAAAACCATATAGGTCTAGTCTAGTCTAGGGTCTAGACTAGTCTAAATCTTCCACAATTGTTCAAATAACATTAGTCAGTAGGTCTAGTCTACTGTCATGATATAAAAGTCGTAGACTCTAGACTAATCTTTCTTACCTGAATTTTTGAAAGTGTCAATTTCCTTATCTTTTTTGGAATAGATATAGTCTAGAGTAGGCTAATGGAGGGAGTTTTCGGCCGGTCCGTTGGAGGCATGGTAAAAATCCCTTTAAGATAGGCACATTCATGGGGCACTAGAGGGCGCTTTGCGCGCGTACGAAAATCTGAATGGCCTTGCTGCGGTGGGTTGGCAATAATCAGCCCAAAACTTGGATATGGGAGGGTGGAAGGATATATCTTTTTTATAATGTTATCTGGTCTTACCCTTAACCATCCTATGTTTAATCTATGTAGAAATAATATGCGAGTACGATAAGAGAAACATCGGGCCCATTACTGATGCAACTTTTAAAATATTAGCCTAGAAATGACCACCAAACGGAAAAAATTGACATTTTTTCCCGACAAATCTTCATAAAATCTGATTTATAAACAAGTCACATCTAGGTAGGCCTACACTAGACTCTAATACAAATACGATTTTCTGAAAATTCAGGTATTATTTTTTAAGTTTCTTTCAAGTATATTTCTGCGCATTGCAGCGCCAATGTTCTTCACTGCTTCAAAATCACCCTTGAAAATTTTTTTTTGCAACGAATTTGTTACGAGGTACGCGAGTGTTCCCCGTTCCTTGCGTGTTGAAAGTTTGGTAATATATAGTTTGCATTGACTCGCGCACGAAAAAATGGTCGAGAACGAAATGTCAAATGAAGAAATAAACAAGCTTTTGTATAGTTATAAGAGTTCTACCGAGGTTTCTTTGTCGATTTAATTTATTATATAGTCTCAATTAGAATTCAGAATTATCTCACTGAAAAGTTAAGAAACCGACGATGTTCTCGATCGTAGTTATTTTCATTTTGCCAGCGGCCGATCTAGCGTTGTTTGGGCAAAAAGCTAGGCCGCTGCCTTCCCATCGCAAACCTTTCCGAGTCCCGCTAAAATGGCGCTCTGCGGAGCTCCGAAGCTGCGTTGGTATCGCTGCAAACTCTCAGCCGGCCAGCTCCCCACGACGGACCATTCGCGGTTATGGCGAGAGTGTGTGTGTGAGGTATGATTTTGGATTCGAGAACGCACGTAATGCAACCGTGCGCGTCATTTTCAGCTGTCGAATGTATACGACCAATTTTACATGTACGATTTTTAGTACAGATACTTGGTCAGTTTTCTTCTTATATCTTTGGTTTTACAACACTTAAAAATATAATTACTTCAAATTTGCTCCTGACTCGGTTCAGACTAATTGTGTGATGTGTTTTCAAGTCAATTTTTTGAATATATTTTTTTGCATGAATTTGCCTATTTAAGATAGACCTCTAATCTACATTGCATAACAGCATATCCCATAGGGTCTACATTGTATCACACACATACAATAACGTGGCAGAGTCACTGGAGAACCATATTTTAGCGATGGAATCGGCGGTCCCGCTACCCGAATCTGAAAAATTGAAAATATCTTATGCTTGTCTGTATGGAATATGGGTCCCATAAAATGAGCTGTATTTCAAGTATTTTTCAGTTATAGAGTCGGATTTTTTGAGCATCGTAAGCTCAAAAGTTTCTCACTGCATGTATATTATCCTAGTATAGGTCGGATACTATAGCGCTGTATCTCTGTATAGTTTAGATTCCAATTGCTGATCACGCGTACCAGCAGGTGTAGTTTTCGGCCGTGCGGGGGATTAAGTGCTCTGGCCGCATGCGTCTTATTTTTTTGTACCACAGCGAGCCCGTGCTCTAGCATCAGCGGGTAAACGCACGGTGCGCTCCCTACATACATTCATGCGGCTGAAAAGTACCTCCGAAACAGTGCACATGAAAATGAATATTGTCATTGCAATTCATGATTTTTTTCTGGGATTCTTTTTTTGTTTAAATAATAATAGTATTTGCTTCATGATTTGAACAGCGGTTTGCCGTGAATCCTGTGAGAAAGTGTATAAGTATGAGAAAATTATGATGGAGAGTATAGGGAATTTAGATTTTAAAAGATTTTCTGATGTGATTAATATGTTGGTGCAGAGATGCAAGGCTCCATGAGGATGTGGTGTTAGCTTTTTATATGTAAATAAAGCCTTCCATCAGTGCCATGTGAAAAATTCCCCTCGGCTAAGCTGTGAAGTCGTTCAGTGTGCATGCAATTTTAGATTTTAAATGCAATATGTTGCAGTCTTGCTGATATATTACTGTGAATGTCATATATAGAAGAACATTTCTTGTCCGAATTAAAACAACACCAGCAAATAATGTCTAAAACAAAACAAATATGTATACGAGTATCCTTTGATGGTTCTGTTTACAGATTAATGGAAACAAACCTTTATCCCTGTTGATATAATATTGTGACATGTTTTATATGATATATCCATGTACATAGGTACGGGCGTTCTTGTTTCTTTTACTTAATCCTTAATCTTTGTTATTTTATTTTATTCTTCTTTTTAGACATACGTAACACATGGATTTCATGATGACCCCTACTGGGACACGTATGCATACAGAGTGATCTTTTTTACAACCATCTCCATCGTCATGGTATTTGGTCCTGCTTTTGTGCACTACTTACCCGATCCGTAAGTACAACCCATGCATGAAATTTACACAAATTTTTAAAAAGTTCCTAAGACGTACAGTAATTTCCACCAACAAGTACTGAAATATATTTTAAAACATTTACTTGTAAATTTTGGATTAGAAATCAGTTGAACAGTACCATTTTAACATTTATTTCCTGTTTTTGCTCCACTTCATCTTTATATCTCATAATCTCACCACTTACATCTTGTCCTTTTCTCTATACCCCCTCCCCCCTCCCTACCCCAGGACTGGAAGGGAATGGGCGAGAAAAGAAGCACTGGTTGTCTTGGACGAGAGGAGAGCAGCAGGAGCACTGGTCATCGACCCCAACTTCATTGACCCCAGCAAACTGGTTCTACCCGAGGAGGACCCAGAGCCTCTCCGTACAGCATAGATTAATCATAGAGTGTGTTTATTTGTGAATTGTAGCATTGGTGATGTGGTGGAGAGGAGGGAGGGTTAGGGGTGTCCTTAACTGCTGCATGTATGATACAAAGAAATCAGTGTTCGAGTTATACCTGTGTAATGGCCACTCAAAGTAATCGCGATAGTGGTCTCGTAGACTTGTCGTCTTTCTATTGAGGTTGTTGCTAAGTAGGTTAGACTGGAATAAATCAAGGGGGTGGGTGAAAAAACCTGTAACTGTCTGTCCCATTTTCCTTTGTAATTTTGACTTGCAGACAATATGTGATGCACATGATCTTCTGACTTTTCAAGTCCGCACATTGCATGATGCCAAGGTGGAAGAGTTTTCCTGTAATTTGATATCACCATATTAGCTGTATAACTAAGAAAAGAGCATGAAGATGTTTTAAAAGTAAAAGAGGAGGCCTTCTGTCAACGTTATTCCATGAATATGTTCTTTAAAATGACTTGAACCCTCTTTAACAGTCCTCTTCTGTCAGTTATTTCTTACACAAATCCTTCCACAACATATTTCTACGAGTCCCCTCGCCTTCTGTATTGGCACATCTAATCCATGGTCAGCGATTGCTTTAGAATGCTCTAATCTATTTGTTTACCTCATTTCAAATGTAGATGGTAATGAACGGGAGCATATCAGGGAAAGAAAAGACATTTCATCACATAAGATGCCCATCAGAAAATATTGGAGTTTAAATGTTGCATGGTTCTCGTTACTAGAACTGCAATATATTATTTACCCAAATTGTTTTGAGAAAGGGTCATCTTGTAGAACTTGGATTATCAGAATGGTTGTGTGAGTTGATGGGCTGCATATGAAGTACACCCTTTTGGAAGTGATGTTTATGAGAATTATTACTCAGGGCTGCACCATCAGAAAATCTTGTGTATCTGATCATCAGGCAGAAAAACAATGTATTTTGGGCATTCCAGTATGATGTCTTCTTGTTTATTCATACAGGAATAATTTGAAATCAAATTATAATATTAAGGCATGTATTTACCTACAAAATTGACAATGTCAGTCCCTTTTGGTCATGTACCCAAGGTGACATGACTATGTTCACCACACATCCAAATTTTTGCAGTCAAATGCTCCTGATTTTAAGTGGATTTTATGTGTATGAATTAAGGATGCTTGAGCTATGCCATTTTGGATATTCAAAGGTATTGTATGAAATTAGTGGATGGCTAAGATTATCATGATGTGCAGAAATGTACACCATGCGTGTATTATAAATTAAAAAGAGTTTACAACTTTAAATTGCTTTTGCTCTAAATATGTCTGGTTTTTCCCCCTCGGTTTTGAATGAGTGTCGCCAACCAAATTTGATTCCTAAAATCTCCATTGAACAAGGAAACCTTCCCTCAAAAGTGAAACACAGTCAGAGGAGATCATAGTAAGAAGACCCGGCTTTGAGCTCTTTGCCTTGGTTTACCGGTCTCTAGGACTGAGATATCAAATACCTGATAGCTCTTGCTTTACTGCCGATTGTGTTCTACCTTGAGATGTATATCCAGAAATCAGAAATGAGCTTTAAAAGAAGGGGAACTTTTAGCTGATTACTTCAGTTTGTGGATAAGTCTAGGATGAAATGTTTGGTGAAGATATATTGTCATTTCCCCCCTTCTCTCTCTCACTCTCTCACCCACTCCCCCACTCCCCTTGCTCTCTCTCCCGCTCCCCTTGCTCTCTCTCTCTTCCCCCTCTTTCTCTTCTATTCCCCATTTCCTTTTCCATCCCCTTCATATCCAATTCCTTGCTCTTTGTCTCTTTCACTCACTCTTCCTACATGGTCCTCTTGCTTCTTCTTACCCTTTCCCTCCCCCTCCCCAAGCTCTCTATTTTCCTCCTGGGGAGCAGGTAGGAAAGGAAATAGAGATAAAGAGTTTAGGAGAAATGGGATGATAAAGTGAAGAGGGAGTGGGGGGGGGGGGGGGGGAGGAGTGAGAGAGAGAGATGTATGAAGCCTGGATAAGGATATAGAGATGAAATGAACAAGAGATAGTATAAGAGACGAGGGGGTGAATAATGACATTTCTTAAAAGTCTGTAGAGAGCCATTGCCAAAAGAGTGACCCGACAATTGCTTTAGGCTTCATTCCGTCAAAGCATTAGGGTTAGCAATTGTCACAGGAGCAAGTGTCTTACAACCGTCGTAAGAGTGGACACTCTCCTGTCTCTCGGTAGATGTGGATGTTGCATTTGAAATGTGCTGTAAAACAGGGGGAACAGGAACAACTACCATTATCATGAACAAAAATTGAAAATATTTGTTTTGCCAGGAACATTGCAGACAGTCATTTCTTACATCAAGTATAAAGTTTAAAAAAAAAGAAGTTTGTATTATTCCTGTCGAAAAATTGTCACGAACTTTTTTTGTTCCTTTTGACCCTGTTTTATAGCATACAATTGCAACACTTGCCTCTTTTGTATTTGGACAACATCAAACTTTGCTAGAACTTCACACTCACAATTGGAAATAAAACACAAGACTCAACAGGTGTCAATAATCATTTTTGATGTAATTTTTGATCACTTTACATATACAATATGTACTCGCTTGTGAACCAATCACAAAGAAAAAGAAAATGCAGTGAAAATCAAGCAATAACTTAAGATACAATAAGTACTGACATCCAGTACTTCAAATTATCAATATTGAACTTCAATAATCAGGAGGGAAAAAAAAATCTTCCCATGGCAAAATTAACAAAATGACAAACACTAAAGTTACATGTAATTGTAATTGCAGGAGCAGTTCATGTGTAAAGAAAATTGATTTTGATAAATTTAACAGACTACAAAATACAAAAGAGTGGACACAACTGAAATAATTTGAATGTTTTTTTTGTCCATAATATGAATCACACTTATCCACTTCAATTTAAGATGTAATGGTTTTCTTTTATCATAAACAATCACTGTTCCCATTTTGTTGAATTGATTGTAATTGAGAGCAGGAATTACATTTAATTAAAATATATCCAAATAGTCAAAAATCATCATAAAAACAAACCTAACTTACCCGTGAAAAATCTTCACTATCATTAGCAATAAAAAACTAATAAGAATAATAAATATACGTATAAATTAATCTCACACATGATACCCGCACATTTATAGCTTCAAAGCTTCAAAATACCTATCATACTCTAGTTACAGTCAATGAAATTCATTAGTTCACAAACGTAATCACTTGGCAAATAAAATCCATTTTTGAAGGAAGAAGAAACATAAAGAGACAAAGATTGCATCAAATTATCAGATGAGAGCCAAAAGGTCGTTGAACCTATGTTAAGTGATTAAACGCCCTTCTGGCCCTCTGTAGGTGACACGACAACATGCTAGTGAGGTGCATGGATGACCCGGACACTGAACAATGTAACAGACATTTAGAACTCGGACCATTTGTTATTATTATTTGTTATTATGCTTTACAGAGTATGCAACAAGCTTTGACTTGAAACAAAAGATTTTTTGAATTTATTATGTGCAGGTGAGCTATTGATCTTCATTTTGTGAGAGTCAAATAGCATTCATTAGTTCACAATGGGACTGTTGCTCATGGTTTTGTCAAATAGAATTAATGTTTTCATATACCAGGAATTTGGGTCTTTTGATGGATTGGCAAATGACCAGCAGACTGAAGCCTCCCCTCCCCCCTCCCTCCCCCTCTTTATGTTTCGTTTAATTGTCTCATAAGTTAATATGGATTTGACAGATCTAAGCTCAATTATCATTGCATCGGTGACCATGCATATCAATAGACAGATGAACGGACCTCAAGGAATATGGATTCCCTCTTGAGTAAATCAATTTCCACATCAATGAAAAAAGTATGGTTGGCTTGAAGTGCATCATACATTAGCATCACAGATCACAAATATTTCTCAGGAGACCGCAGGAATTGATAAACCATTCTGTCATTATTATACAAATGCAACATCCGTATAGACTGATGAATTAACCTGTAGTTTACTATTAGTGAGGCTTAAAGCTGGAGATATCTTGGACTGACATTTATGAGAATTGTGTGTTTTTACCAAAATCAAATGTTAATAATGGACACACAGAACAATTGAAACAAAGAACGATAAGAAATGAGGATTGAGCTATGGATACCAAGTGTAGTCTCAGGACTGATGCTTTCTTCTTTTATTATTTCAATTTGACTCTGCAAGATGGAAATGCTCATCAATGTTTGAATGGCCAGACGCGCAATTTTTGCAATTTTCTTCCAGAGACTCACTTAGAGTTAAATAGCAATGCTCAGTCATGCTTGAATGGTATGATTTCAATCTAAGAGGATTAATTTAGATTTATTCTGATACATGAAAGATAAGTTTATAATCTATTTGAAAATCTGAACTATAAATAGCTTCCACCTTTTTGGGGGGCCGAGTGTATATCAGAGAGCTGTGAAACATTTGAACTCTACCTGTACTTTGATTAGCTTTGACAGTAAACACAAAACGGAATCACATTAATCGGCAAACTAAATGTGGTACGGATAAAATGCTGCAAAGGGCTATACAATTCCTCTAATATCAACACTGAATATTTTGCATCTAGTATTGTTCATTTCTAAGGTGAGACATAGGGAAGTGAACAATAGAGAGAAATTAATAATTTTTTCAAAGATAGCATGAGATAATTGTGATTTTTCTCTTTAAAATGGTTTTTCTATCAAATACAGTCAATTAAGTTAACATTAAAATTAACAAAAAAGACATAACTTGAATTGGCAAAAAGGGCCCTTTAAATTACTGATAGTACACTAACAGAAGTCACCATTAAACATTACTGCAAAAAGGCCCTTCATAAGTTGTTTATACATATTTACAAAATGAGGAAGTGTTTGCAGAAATAATAAAACATACATCATCAAAATTCATTGTCGAAACATGAATACGTCAAAATACTGTTCATTAATTTAAAAAGCATTGTTCCTTTACTCAAAACCAAGAAGGAACTATGGCTCTCCCTCGAATCAGATTCTCAAATAAGCGAGTTCACGGTTGCAGTCTGAGCATGAGCAGATCAAGGTCATTGCAGAACAAATTGTGAATTACACGGAGACGAAATACTGGATACGTGCTCATGAAAGTTATGTAATCGTTATTCATTCTTGCACATTCAGTGCAATCCATGATACACAGGTGGAAGTATTCTTTCAAAGGGGAAAACAAAGGCTATGTTATATAGCACCTTCATCGCTGTAGGAATGATTATTTCACAATGTACAAAGTGGGACCTCTTCATGTTTTGAAGATCTGTGGATATTCGGGGTCATTGCAGTAATGTGCTAACCGTGAACTGGTCTATTGTGCTAGCATTCTTGAATTATAGCATTAGCCTATATGCTTACAATGAATGGAAAAAAGTTGCTATGTTCTATACTACAATATACACCTAAGTCAAGGAATTAAAAGTTGTTATCTATTCTTTTGATTTTGAGATTTAGGTTGGGGATGTTCCGTTTTGATAATTAGGGGCGGGAGTTTCGCTTTCAGTTCCTTCAGTTCCTTCCCTTCCTTATGTTTGTATTATCCTTGACTCTATGAGTATGAATATATGAATATGAATATGAATATGAATCAATGGGATTGAAAATTACATTTTGTAAGATCTTGTTTACAATTTTTTCCAGTCTTTCAACATTTTTATTTCAATCTCATTGTCATGTTAACTGCTTCAGATATATGATGTCATTTTTTCTCTCTCAATTGTGTGTGTGTGTGTGTGGGGGGGGGGGGGACTGCCTTAGTGGAACCCCAGTGTACTAATGAATAGGTATGACATGTTCTGAAGTGGAAGTTTCAGGAATTTTAGTCTACAGTATAGTTCTGGAATTCTCTACATGTCTATCTAATACCAGATGTGCCCTTCTGGAAAACTCTACGGCAGTCTATGAGCTTTCTCTGTTGAAGATAGTGTCAACCAATGCCAGATACATGGAGAAGAAAAATACAAAAATTGCCCGGTAGACAGGTGATAGTGCCCATTATTAATTCCCTAGCAAATGCCCTTTCGATAGGCACGAACTATACTTAACCCTTGCACTACATTCTAAACATAAATAATTAATCTTATTTGAAAGAACAAAATGTGATTTCACAGTTTAATGTGTTGACAGATCGTCATTATTCTTGAATGCTTGATGCATATGCTGAAGACACTATAAATTTTGTTATAACCTTAAATATCCCCTTTTTCGTCTGATTTTTTTGTCTGATTTTTATCTTCATACATACCTCCACTGTTTAAAAAAAAAAAGCACCATAATTAAGTTGTAAATCAAAAATTGATTGCACAGACTATAACCTTCAAGAATTCATCACAAAGGTGTATGCCTTTCTTCCACCACATTTGAAGTGTGTCTGCAAGCCTTACAAGACATTACTATTCAGAATTTTTTTAATTGTTTTAAAAAATGTACATTTTTTGTTCTTTTTTACTAGATTTCTGTCATTTTATCATTCAGTTGGGAATTAATGATCTATTCAAACGGTTGACACTATCTTCAACACAACTATTTTTTCTTTCAGTATATAAACTGGCCTTTAAACAAGAGACGGAAAAACTCAAAAAATTGCTTTGGGGAGAAAAATGACTGGAAAATGACAAGACACCTGTGGAAGAAAGCAGTAAAATCTTCTCTTTTTTCATAAAAATCACAAAGTTGCCCGATAAAAGAGGCAGTCTGTCCTACTATTATACAAAATGACTTTCCTCATCCACATGGCTTCAACTCTGTGCATCCAATTAAACATTATGAAATTGTCCTCTTGTGAATGAATGTACAGTTTACTTTCACATAATCATTTTACTTTCACGTAATTTTAGGTTAAACAAGTTGGTACTGATTTTTTTTTTTAGATAGCACACAATTCTGCACAATATTCAAGACTGTTTAATTACAAAAAAGAAAAACTGTACAGTACGGCTATTCAATAGAATTACACTTAAATAATCAATTGTCATAAAAGATTTGTCAAATATCATCAAAACTTCATACCGACTCTCTACACAAATAAATCCGTTCATAGACTTGTACAATATGACCATAGACTTTGATATACTTCCAACATATATATACTTTTGACATAAACAAGACCTTTTGATCACCAAAATTTACAAAACCAAATGCATATATAGAGTATCCAGATTTTCATCTGTCAATTAAACTTCATGTAAAACAGATTTTTTTTTTTTTACATGTAATAGTATCTACAAAATTAAGTCAAAGTGTTGTTTCTTCTGATTTCTCATTTCACATAGAGGAAACAGAAAAGTAATTCAAAAAACAATCCAAAATAATTGATTTCCTCTTCACTTATTCTGTAATACTGACACTTAAAATTGAATTACAATTACAAGAACACTCGCCGCAAGGCACTCATTTTGCACATATCTCTGGTTAAGCTACAAAGCATAAAGAAGAACAAGATAATGTGATGAGAAAATGCAAGGGCTATTTAGTCTAAATAAAGATACCCATTAAAATGAGTAAGATAGAGACAGATAGAAAAAGAGAAAAACTTCACTTTGTTCTCTTCGCTGCTACTACAAACAGCACACACAAAGAAAGAAATATCAGGTAAAATCCTGATACTTTTTCTTCAAATGGTTGACTGGAATGAATAGACCAAACAATAATAATTAGAAATCAAAAAGATAATTCATGAAAAAAACCTCTAACATGCTAAAGTATGCAATGCAAAATCATTGAAAGCCTAATATATGACTACTGAATAGTCCAATACATGTAAAAGCGACAAGTGTGATATAGAAAAAGGACCTTCACTTCCCAAACTTTTTAAGATTCCTCATTCAAAGCTTGAAAAGTCCATTCCAAAAACTTCTATTCAACAAAATATTTACAAGAAGATGTACATAGAATCCAGAAACAACTGTAACAGGACTAAAAAGAAACAAGAACATACATTCAATACAACTAAAGACGTGTTCATGTAGAAAATTAATTGAGAAGGGAGAGAGATAAGAGTACACATAGCCAATTTCATCTTAATCATTCCAAATCCTTCCTTTTAATCCATCAATTTCTTTCCATTATACAATTGCACTAATTTGTTGCTGGTTCTTTACAGTGTGAACTGTCAACATATATTTCTGCTATTAAAGTAGAATTATATTTTCAGAAATTGTGTTTGTGTCATTTGGAATATCCTCTTATTCCTTCACACTTGTTTCAATACTATTCCTCAGAGTATGCACTTGCTGCGAGCTTAGATTGGTCATTCCTTAATTGGGAACAGTTGATGATTTTTGACAAGCAACACAAGATTGCTTTAATTGCCTTGTACAACAGAGGATGTTTGAATGGAGAGACAGACATGGAGTACTCTTGCCTTTTTTCAAATTTGCGTATCATTCCCGTGCAGTTAAGCATTATCATTCACCAACAGGAAATATTTGTTGTTGAAATATAAGAGCTAAATTGAAAAGGTTATGATATATTTTTGGAAAACTCTTGGAAAGAGGAGCATGAACTGCATCGTGATGAGTATATATCCCAATTCCTGCATCCCCTTCTCCCTTCTTAGATGATCAAAATAGTTAAATGCTCGCTGGTTCAAGGTTGGAGGATGATTGCAGACAAGCTAATTTGGGCAGATATTTTGGAAGGCCGGATCTCGTCAGCTCTATGCAACGGGAGGACGGCTTTACAGCTTTGTACGATCTCAGTTCACGTTTTAACCAGGACGGGACACCACCGCTCTTGAAGAGTCTTGATCGGGCTGCATGCAGAGAGGGTTTTTTGATAATTCCAAAGTGGAGAGAGCTAGGAAGGCTATGATGGGGTGCTCTGGAGGGGTTTGGAGGGCTTGCGAATGGGTTGCCATGGTGATGATACAGCTAACTATCTGAAGAGCCTTCTTGGCTGTTGCTCTCCTCCGACCTGCTGTTCTCCTCCTCTTTCTTTTGTAATCGTGCCTTGACGTCACCCAGCCCCAGCTTCCTCATGTGTCTGACCACTGCGGTGGCATTGAAGGCTTGCTGTATAGAGAGGGAGAAGGAAAGAGATGGAGAGTAGACAGAGAGCGAGAGAAAGGCAAAATACAAAGTGTTGAGGGAGAGAGAAAGGATACAAGGGGTGAGAGAGGGTGAGATCACAGGGAGAGGAAAGGGAGAGATGAGAAGAGAGAGTAGAAAGAGTAAAAAGAAAGATAAAAAGAAAGATATAAAGTCATAAGTCATTTTGAATTCTAGTACGTACACACATGTACATACAAGTACCATTCATGTTAGAGTGGAACTACACATACATGAATGTTCAAACATGCGGTACGATAAACACAATTTATCTCAGTCTTTCATGTTTTGTTTTTCCTTCCATATTTCCATTTCCATATATTTTGCAAACTAATTGTCAAGTCTAATACATACTACACTCATCAAACATGTGTCCAATCGTATATGTTCTACCTGTGAAAAAGAAAACCACTATCATGAAGAACTAGCTTTAAACCTTGATTAAGCTTCTCTTCACTGAGCAGGGTTATTGGAATACTATCCTTGATCTTAAAGATGAAGTGAGTTCTGGTCATGCAATTGCATTGTGAAAGAAACGGTGTGGAATCGACCAGAAAAGGTTGATCATCTAGCATATAAGAATTTGTGTGTATTGCAAGGTTCTAGAATCATCAAAATGATAAGAAATTTGGCCAAGTCTTGGTAAAGTTACAAACACTGTACACAGAAATATGTATATGGGACTACACGAACATGTGGCGTAAAAATCCTACCCCCGAGTTTTACGATGTTACTGACATATTTAGAATATAAAGGCATTTGAAGAGCCATGCTTTTCAGGGAACATGTCTTATCTGATGATCTTCCGCACTTGCATAATAAGAATTATTACGCTCACAAATTATTTTTCACCTCTTCCCAGAACTCAACCTTCTCTTTAATGAATGCTACTTGAAAAATACAATTACCACTCAAACAAGATTGGGAGAGGGGAGAGGGGGGAGGTGGGGGGTGATCAAATGAGTATTGCAAATGAAATCAACCTTACAAGGGGGACTGGCAGGTATTCCATGATAATTTCTGAAGGTGCACAGGTGTTCTTCCAAGGAAACTTTGAACTAGTTACTATAGATTTGATCATCTTGGCATCGATTCTTTTGGGATGACGTTAGCAGACCTTGGTACCACCAAAAGAGATTTGCTTTTGCAACAAAAAATTAAGTAATCATAGAACCTTTTGCCAAAATAACAGTCTTAATCTCAAGCTGTTACAGCCATGGAGTGCATGTTATTTGGTAATACATGTTCAAACATGGTTTTAACGGTTCAGTGATTAATTCATTAACTCTTTAAGAATGTAATCCCATGTAAGTAACCAATATATGTCTCAAAATTCATCTGTTTGGGGCCAGAAGGGCATTAGCTCATATACTTTAACACAGAGTTAAACGCCCTTCTGGCTCTGCAGAGCCAATTTGAGAGATGTGTAGAAGCTATTAAACAAAACAATATGAAATATGGTGACCCATCTCTATGGCCTCAGAGATTCCTCTCTCACATCCAGACTTGTCCTTCATGTCTGGAGATAGCGCACCTCAATCACTGTCACTTCAAGATATGGTCCCCATTGTCATATAAACAAAAAACATCGGTATAGGCCTGGCTAAACACAATTAATTCCTCATCAAGTCATGACTTGTCATAACAGAAAATAAACAAGTGATGACAAAAGTCTGATAAATGGTGAAGTGGTCAACTATAACCTTTCAGAAGGGTTTCTGTCAGGAAGATGGGGACATTGTCCTGTGGTATACTGGTCTGTCTGTCAGAAAGCCAGGAAGGTCAACATCGAGCAAGGCTAGAACTAAACACCTTTGGATTTGTTTAGGCACCCTGTACTAATATTATCCATGCAAACATATTACTAGAACTTGTATGGGACATCTTAATTGGGATGCTACATCAAATGCAGAAACAATGTCTTTTTCCCTCTTTAAACTGGTTGTAGAGTCATGGTCCACATCAGTGGCATGTGTGTGTGTGGGGGGGGGGGGGAGGGGGGAGGGGGGGGGGGGGTAAGGGGCACCACTGGTCAATGCTCATTTAAAAACCCAATCTAGCTCCAGCATACAGTACACAAAGATATGCCACTCTCATTGTGTTCTTGTGCCTCCCTTTCCAATTTTAGACCTTAAGGAAAACAAACTTTTTTGCTAGTTTAAAGTGCCCCCCCCCCCCCCTCCCCCTGGAAAAAAAAAATCCTAGATTTGCCTCTGGTCTAAAGGATGGGTAATACCTGGATTAAGGGTGAATCCAACGTTACGGGTAAGTCATCACATACCTTCCATTTTGTCTTGGCAAAGTTTTTCTTGATGTTCTCACTGACCACTTGATGGATGTTCTTTGTAAGTGCCGCATTTCCTGAAATCCTGTCAGAGAAAATAGCAAGAAAACCAAAAAAAAATACATAAAAGAGTGGTATTGAAGATACTCATTAGTTTTTATTAAATCAGTTGTGTTATAGAATATGAGTTAATGCCCTTCTCACTCTCAAGAGAAAACATGTACTGTGAAATAGAAAAAAGAAAATACTGAGAAATTGTTTAAAATATTTGTTTTCATAATAAATCATCATAAATCGCCTTGTCCAAAGAATAACTTGAATAACATAGCGAGCTATTATCTCCCACATACTAAGAGACCTTGGAACAGCAATGTGATAAACCAGTAAGTCAGGGGGAAATATGCTACACAAGTCATATACAAGCCAAATGTTGCAGGTAGATTCCTATTACCAGCATCAAAATCTTTTCCCGGAAAGAAGATTTTGTTCCTTTGAAAATCAATGGAATTACCCAAATATGAAATCTTTGCTTTGCAATATATCTTGCAATCAAATTTGCTATCAGGTATCTATCTATTCATTTCATGACGAGAAAAGGGGAATTCAAAATCTAGGTCATGATTTTTCAGAATGTTGCCCCCCCCCCCCCCTATAGAATCATGGATCAGGACACTCTCCTGATATACTTATAGTGTAGATGAGCTGTAATGTTATATGAGACGGTAATAGGGTCAACGCAGAAGTGCACAAACACAGGGTATCAAACATGTAATATGATCAAACTCCCATCAACCAGACCTACATCAGCCTCAATCAAGTCACAGAGAGTTATCAGAATACATTCAAAGCCTATTAAACCTGACTCCTGGTGGTGTGGCTTTATATTCAAAGGTATAAAAAATTCTCCTATTTGTGGACTTTCAAGAACATTCTCCACAAAATATGACCCCTTTTCCCCTAAAAACGGGTACAAACTTAGATTTACACTAAGTCGACATGAAGTGCCGCCACCTGTATAAAAAGGGTACTTCTGTATAGAAGACGAAACCTTCTTCTAGTCACTTCTCTTGAAAAGCAATTCCAGTTGTATTAAACCTATCCGTGCTATTTTCATCTTTTAAATGGTAGGCCTGCAACTTGTAATGTTTAACATACAGTTTACCTTTGATAACCTATTTACTTCTCAGTTGATGACTGTAAAGGCTACTTGTCAGTAACGACCAAGGGCGTTTTTCCCCCCTCTGATCCTTATGCAAGGAATCATAGATTCTCTTTAACATTTCCACAAGTAAAAAAAATACTTCAATCTTATAACTCTCAAAGTCTCAATGCTTTGAATGACACCCAAATTAAACTGCTAGTAGCTGAGGATTGAAAAGACAAAAATAAGTCCACTCCGACTGGTAGCAGACTAGCTTTGACCCGACTGGAGAGGTTTCCACAAACACAACCAGAGTACCCTCCATACCCGCTCAATGGGGATTGGATTACATTGGATCTTGCATAGATAATGCAGCGCTGAAAGACATTAGCATCATCTCCCATGAGCAAGGGGTGTCTTGCGACCTGCATGCTTTCCCCTCTAGGCCTGTCCTCATCAGCTCCAGATTGCCAAATAGGCCGCTATTTCTGATTTGGGAAATAATCCGGAAGTTACAAATCTCATCTTCATCAGCTCGAGAAATTAGCTCGAGATATTGTGCTCAGCGTGTGCGAATAGTGCAAGTTTTCAGGCTGGTGAAGACGCACCGGACAATTATAGCGGAATATTTTGCAAACTAGCCCAATATATCTTTGGATGATTATCTCAACCAAATATCCTGCAATTGCAACTTCAGGCTGATGTGGACGGATTAACTGGATAATTTGCGATCAGGATAGTTCAAATAGCGGGATATTTGGCAATCTTGGGCTGATGAAGGCAGGCCTTCTGTCTCCTGGCTCCCTCTGGGTTGAGGGGAAAGTGTGGGTTAATAAGCAGCGATTAATCAGGGATATAGCGGTGTGCCATTAAGTGTTTGCTGCTAATTATAAAGAGTGGGGTATATCGCAGTGGGTAATGATGATGCAGACTAAACACTATGCAAACACATGTTATACCACAAGTAATGAGTGTTTTACCATAATGTCTAGCGCACTGTACGATCCTCCTGCGATAGGATTTTCGAAGAAATTGTAATTACATCAGATATGGGAATCTAAACAAACATCATGTTTCTGATTTAGATTTTAAATAATGATAAGAATACTAATAACCAGAATTTTAGTGCATTGAACTCTTCTAGTCAGAATAAAAGCTGAATCGGCTTCAAATCGTAGACAATCATACTACTGGTCTGACGTCACTATGATTCTGAGCTGATTTAGCTTTTCCTCCTCCAAGGAAGCATGAATCCCTTAAAATTTAGATTTTATCAACCACATATATTCAGATCCTCATTGATTAAGATTGTACAATTTTTAATGCTCATATATAATACTATGGCAAAGTCTTTCGAGGTCTGATCATAGTCAGATCATGTAGTGTACGCCGGGCTCAACAAAATGGATTAGCAAAATTACTCCTACTCATTTTGCACTTTTATCAAGACAATGTCTGAAACAAAAGACTAAATACCAAATCTAGAATATGATGATAATGGAGCCTGTTTTCTGTGTGCAGTCTGCTGAATGATGTCCACCGAACGATTATATTGACTCAACCCACAGAGGAACGGAAGGGAGAATGAGTGACTACACTGCTGCTTAATTAAAACAAGCTTTGTTGCTAAATAGCACACGATACCATGTAATAGAGAGAAGATCAATTAACATCAAACTGTCAAGATTGGTTGCTTTTTGGTCCAAGATGCTGGACATTTTATCAGCAGTCGACACAAACAATTGCCATCCTTTGAACAAGTGGTTCTAACAAAGTCATTATAAAATCTCTGCTTTTTGTTGCTGTTGATCATTTAGTTATTGAATTCTATTGAATCATAAATATATTCAGTAAGAAAGATTGAAAGATAATTTCAATATATTACAAAGAATGATGTCCAAATGAGAAATGGCATATTGCCTTTAAAAAGCCACACTTTAGTTGCATCTTAAAAATACATTAGATGCTATAGGTACCATAGCTCAAGAAGTGACCAGTAAAGGCCTGCATCAGAGGTTGTGTATTAAGTGCTGTTTCCCTGGTTCTCCTATCACCAAGCATATTAATTTCTAGGTCAATTTTCTGGAGGCTGGCCTAGAATACCGGTATACATTTATTGGTATTACATGGTCGTGCTTACAGCAAGTTTTGGTATGTTATTACATCAACATTTCTATGCACCTTTATGTGTACGTGGATGGATGCATTTAGCATCCCCCCTTTTAAAATCAAGGATACATCTATGATCTAATAAATACATAGAGTCAAAATGTTTAAATGTGAGTTGTAGTAGATGATTGGAGTACACCTATCTTACTTTAATAATTCTCAAAGTTCATCTTTTAGTGTAGATGGATGTATCTACCTAAACTGACTTTACGACTTGACGTTTGAATTATTTTCTTCATAAAATAAGAAAGGAGGAAGACTCAAAATTGATTTGCGAGTTTTGTCAATGCTTGTGCGGCAAAAACACCCCAAAACATCACAAACACATTCTTCCCCATTGTGAGTTACAAACTTACACTTGCAAAAACTGCAAGAATCCTTCATGGGCTATGACTACAGGAAAAGGCTTCACTATCAAGTGTTAAGCCAAGCAGTGCTCTGAAATTATCAGGTCGTTATTAACAACATTATGTAGCGGAAATGCCCAAGGCGATAGGTTTCTATGCATTTGAGGTTGTCCCAAGCGGCACAGGAGGAGGATGAAAGCAATACGACCGAGGCAAAACTTAGACAAGTGGATCTACTAGTATACAAGATACAGCTGAAAATTGCAACATGTTAGTAAACTGTCCCCCCCCCCTTCCCCTTCCTCCATCTGAATTTGAAGTGACCCTTTCTCTCTGGTTCCCCTACCCCCATCCCTGCTACATTTAAAAAACAAAGGTCAAGTTATTTTTTTGAATAAAGATAATATATATAAGATACATCATACATTTGCAGCAAGGTAATACCCTTCTCCCCTCCCCCATCATCGATTCCACCTGTACCCCCACAACTAGTGACCCACTTATTACCCTCAATTACTTCTCTTTCCCCCTGTCCAATCCTTAATCAGTCTGTTGATTTGTTTCTAAATACAATTGTGAAATTTTGCCTCTAGAACAAAGTCTACTCATCACCCTATTTCCCACGCCGATGTTTCTTCTTAATGCAACACGAACCCCACATCTTTAGGCATTTACTCAGAAAGTGAAATGTAAAAAGGAAGATGAAAAGAGAAGGAGGATTACACTATCCCTTCCGGAAATTCATGTATGAAACCCAAATCATTTAGATAAATTAGAAGTACCTGTCTAATCACCTAGAAATCTATTGATTGTGAATTTCGTTGCACAAAGAGAGAGAGAGAGAGAGAGAGAGAGAGAGAGAAAGAGAGGGAGGAAGAGAGAGAAAGATGGATAGAGAGGGAGGGAGAGAGAGAGAGAGAGAGAGAGAGAGAGAGAGAGGGAGGGAGAGAGAGAGAGAGAGAGAGAGAGAGAGAGGAAAAACGGTGATCATGAAAGAAACAGACACCGCCAAGAAGTTCTGCTCTTGCATGAATATGAAGACAATTGAATTAAAAGAAACTACAAAAATACAATCCTACAATATTAGATTTGAATACAGAAATAGAAAGAGAGAGTATATGTGGAGGTGATGTGATCTCGTGGATACGTCACCATGGCCGTTGTCTTCCGTGGCACTAATGTCCTTTAGCAAGACATTAATCTACATTTGCCACACTCTACCGAGGTGAGGTAAATGGGTACCCGACATGAATGAATTCCTTGAAATGCTAGAGCACCATTATGGCAGCCATGCTTAAGCCGGATTAATAATTGTGGAGTGCAAGGAGTGTCAAATCTGACTGACATGAGCGCTTTAGAACCCACTATTATTATTATTATTATTATGAAAGAGAGAGATAGATCAAGTTGAACAGGTAGAGACTAGAG